TTTCACTCCATCTTTTCATTTAAAAGGTGTAATGAATGATTTTATTGCCATCTTAAAAGTCTATTTATAATCCATTCATCTTGTGATAAACGTGTGTATCTGATTCTCGACCTCTATTTAATACTGTACAGAGCAGTCTTGCTTAGTTTAAAGTTTTCTTAGCACAAATGTGAGACAATCACATTTTTTATCAGCTTGAGTGACCTTAACTGTTACTCCTGTACTTCTAAAGTATGAGTTTTAATGAGTATTTAATATATAATTGTTGTTAGGATTTTTTTCCTCTGTATTTTAGTCATCGCTACCTTTCACTTCTCTTTGGTAGCAGTATCTAGGTAATGACTGGGAATGCTTGAAGGCTTTGCAATACAGGCAGAATCTTGCAAATTCATTCTCCAAGACCCCTACTGCAGTTTTTGATGCCCATGTGCATAAAGTAAGGCATCAGATGGCCATATGGTCAAGATGCTGTTGCTTTAAACCTGCTCACTCTTGCAGCTGACATGGTAGTGACTGCTTGACTTCAGCAACACTATATTTGTCAGCTTGTATTCTGATCTGTCCTGCTGCAGCACTGTTGTTAACAGTGCTTGAATTAGCCCAGAGCTAGTGATGGAAACAGTCTCACAGTCATTGCCGTGCTGCTGGCAAGCCCGGAGCCTAATCAAAGGAGCAGCAGAGGCTTAAATGTCTTAGGTGGACGAGGAGGGGGCTTTAGATCTTGACACTTGGTTGGGGCACTGAGCATTAAACTTTCAGGTATTTTATGTTCACCTATTGGCTATGATTGCTCTTCCTGACTCCCCTGTCCCAACTTCACCCTCAGAAATTGGGAAATTTGGCCATGTGACCTTGCTGTTCTAAGATGGTCAAATTCTTGATGGGCTGTACCTGTATTTTTCACCCCATACTCTTCCATGCTGACCCTACTGTCCTCAGGTTTTCATAAAAATTGGTGTTCTGTCGAACCCCTCTAGGAAAAACAGTCAAGATATATTCCAAAAAAACCAAACCAGAGACGTCCCTGTCCTGAGACCTGGCAACCATGGTACAAGCCCATGGTCTGTTACTGGGTACCGTATTTCCCGAGCTACTGTGCAGCTCTGTGTGGGCACTGTGGGAAACCTGCTGGAGCAGGAGCTCTATTTTTTTTATGTAATTCCTCCTTTGGAAGGGCTACCTATATCAGAAGCCCAACCTCCAAGCCTGGGTGTCCAAAAGGAGGGCTAGAGCAATTCCCCTCCAGGGATGGCTGAACTGTGGGATTTTGGACATTGCCCTTGCTCCAACTAAAGGCTGTAGGACCTGGCCAGTGGGAGATTATGTCTAAGAACACTAGCTCTGATTTTTAAAAGCTCCTTTTTAATAACTGCCTACCTAAGTAGGAAGAGAATTGCATGCATACACAAGCAGTAATTGAAGGGACAATAGAAAAATGAAGCTAAACAATTTATGACAGGGAAGGTTTGAGGTATAGGAAATGGATTTTAATCAGAAAGCCAAAAATATATCTGTGTAGGGGCACACATTTCTTAGGTCAGTGGGTAAGAATGAAAGCTGATCTGACAACTTTAGCATTTGTATGCACTAGAAGATCTAGAAAAAAAATGGGATATATCCATTTTTGCTTTCTTTACTCCCCGATTTCTTCAACAGACCATTCATTATATGAATGTGAAGCACAGACATCTTCTGAGGCACCAAAATTCAAAGAATATTGCTCTTACTTGCTGCTTAATATTTTCTTTGTCTGGAAACTTATTCTACCACCAAGGAAAAGTACCAATCCAGGAATATCAGGTCTTAAGAAATGAGGAACATATATGCCTATGTCTCTGGAGTCTTGATGACTTCATTTCCCTGAGGAACCTAAGGGCAAGCAGTGTATCAGCACTGACCCTCAAATCACCTCACTTTCCTGTGAAACTCCTGATAGAACCTGGACTTTCTATTCCAACTCTTTGCATATCTGGCTCCCACCATATTGATCTTACCTTTAGCTTCTTTCTTCCCTTGCTTGCTGGATGTCACATTTACTGTTGTGACATATTTGGTAGAGTAAGTTTCAAGCTTTCCAAAATGTTGACATAACTGTGCTCAATAGATTTGTTTTATCTATTGCTAGATAGGAAGAGGAGAAATAGCCTGCTAAAGGTAGCTTTAGGGATAAAAAACTGAGAAAGTAAAAGAGAATTAATTGCATATGACTTAGCAAAGAACTAATGCATTGGAAAAAGAGGTGCAAATACTTGTGTGTGTGAATACTACTAACACAAATAACAGATGCTTGAGTTCCTACAGGGTTGAAGTCATTAACTACATGGAGAGTTACTTGCACAGTTACTTATCACTCCTTCTGCAGTTCTTTTTTCAGTCCTTCTATGTCCTTGATGAGTTTAGATTCCATCCTGTAAAGGCTTATGTACCCACTTAATTGTGGTAATAAGTGTGAGAGTTGCTTGCTTTCAGCTGAGCATGCACACTAATCTGCAGAGCATCAAGAGTAGTGGGATATACATGTACTGTGCATTCTAGAGTTGGTTAAAATGCAGAAATAAACATTGATTAGTATACCATTCAATAATTTTTCATTCTCCTTATACTGTCTTTCAAAAATACACACATTACCCTCTGTTCAAAACTGGTTCCCAATATGAATGCTATTTGTTGTCTTGAACTGAGATTGTCTAGCCTCATTTAACAACCTTTTCAGAAAACTTGATGTAAGCTTTTATTTATTAATTGTTCTGTATTTTCTAAAGAGTTTCAAAGCTGTTACCTAATTTTATGGATTTCCAATTTAGGGACACTTACAGGATTTGATTTTTGCAGAAAATCTGGGTCTTGAGGGCTAGTTAACATGGCTAAAATTCCAAATCCTCCAGACAACGAAATACTTTAATGCAGATTTCATCTCTCTGTGATATTTTTGTCCCAAGGTCCTGTCCAGTACTTAGAAATTTGATCATAGGATCTAGGAATAATATAGTTTGGATGGACCTTTGCACCTTGGAAAGTTTTGCCAGTAATTGTTGTAAAATGACTCTAAGAGTTAGGAATATGTTTTTACTCTCTGATATGTAAAACAGACCATGAAATTAATATTCAGACACAGTAGAGTAGTTCTTTTCATTACTTAAATGGGCTTAATTGGAGTTACAGCAAATTTAGAAGGCATACTAGCAGCACTATATAAATTAGGTATGCATTCCTATGAATAATACAGCCATTATCCAATTCCCCTTCTTCCTAATTTCATTCTCCTCCTTAAAAGAAGTTAAAGTTTTTGTCACCTACTTAATACAAATTATATTTTTCTCTTAGGAAAGAAATAATAGAAGAATAAATGGTGCCAAACTATAAGACAACAGGAAAGTCACTAAGAACAGCAGTGAAAACTTTTTTGTCTTTTGTGGTAAAATATGCCTTGAATTTGACTGTGGTTTCAGCATGACAAGGAACTGTAATGTACTATGACCTGCTACATTTAGCAGACAATAGCAAAATTTGGAGTCAGCAATAAAACCTTTTTCTTGATCTTTCTGTCCATGCTTGCATCTACTTTGTGACTGAACAAGATACATCCGAATATACCTCTTATATGCATCCATTGGATAAATACTTTCTGAAGTAGTGACACAACTCCCATAACACTACATATACTAAAGTATTCCTCTCTGTCTGTCAGTGATGTATACATGGTGGGTTGATCTCTGTTAGTAACTTTGAGAGAAAGGGGATATGCCCTTAAGGTCAGCTAAAATTTTCCAGTTGGATGCAAGTGAAGTGATTTCATAAGTTTTGCTCGATTAGCAACAGCAGACGGAAACCCCAGGCAGCAGTCTAGGTGATGGGGTGACTTTCGGGTGGATATGCCTCTGAACTAAACAGTGGCGTACTTCTAGCAGCTGTTTGCTTAGGTTGTGTTTTTAATAGATGATCCCTGAGTGGAGTGGTACTTATTTTCCATGAAAAAACCCCCTATTTTTCAGACTTTAGAAGGCCCATCAAAATGTTCCATTTCCTCTTAGCCTTCATCAAAAGACTGAAACAATTCTATTAAAATAGGAATTTTCTCTTAAACTTTCATTATTTAAAAAATTCTTTTTGAAAAAGAGGTGTCTGGAGCAACAAGGCAATATAACTTTTAAGCTGTCTTTACTCTTTTATCCAGCTTCTCGAGAAGCAGGGGAAGATTTTTAGGACCCAAATGAGAATTAGGTTTGCAAAGCCTCTCAGCTTTCACTGGAACTTGAATGTTTCTGTCTTTGAACCTTTTAAATATCCTCTCATAACAAAGGTGCTGAGTAAGCATGTTCTTTCAGCTTGATTGAGGGCCAGATTTTAGGGTCAGAGTTATTTTTTAATGCCTGTTTTAGTATTTTTGGTACTTTCCACTCTCACAGTTATTCAGAAGTGTGCATGAAATGGAAATGTCTTTGAATATTTATCTTACTTCCCTTTCTATTACTTGCCATGCTTTTTATAGGCTTAATTTTTCTTCAGTATTTATGATACATTCTGTCTAACTTCAATTCTGAGTAGCAGTTGTAACTGAGACTTAATGAAGTTTTTTGATGGTGAATATAGATGCGTTCAAATAAAACCTTTTATTATAACATTCCCAAACTAGCTAGTGGTATTAATTGTGCTGTTAGCGATTCAAACAGCGAACTGAATTTTTAGTTTGTATAGCCTTACAATAAGACCAAAGTAAATAGAAAAGAAATTAATAAATTACCTGAAGTATCACCTCATGGCTTCTTTAGCAACAACTTTGTTTTCTTTCCTATATGTAATTGAACTTGTTTATACATATGCTTTCCTGTATACACTTGAAATTGTTCACAAATATTTTAATGAATTTTTCTAAGCATTTCCTTGATCATAGAGTTTTTCTAAGCAGTTGATTGTAAGTAATTGGCAATCAAAATGCAAACTGTGCTGATTCATTTTTATTAGACACATCACTTAGAGCAAGGTATTGTTTGTCTCCCCAGATGGAGGTTCCAGTTCAGGAAAATATTAAAACAGAGATTTCAAAGGGACTTCATAAAATGCTTGAAGGTAAGTATGTTCCTCAGCACTTTACTGAGTCCAGAGTATAATGAGAGTAGTTCTTTAAAGCAAATTTCTGCTAGTTGTGTTTATGAGTTTACCATACACCTTCTGTCTATGTTCTCCGATGTTAAATTAAAACTTGCTGCTTCCATAATGCCCTTGCCAGGAAATTCACTTGCCAAAAGTATCCATAGAGAGGGAGCAGAAAATTAATATGAATGCAACCACAGCAAATGCTGGTTTTATTTGAGTGAACAGTCAGGGTAGTAGAAGGTGCAATTCCAGTTCTAGTTACAGTCTAAACAATGTATGTCATCCATGAAACTACAGGATTTAAAATAAAGGCCTTTAGGCCTTTTTATGTACATTATCTAGCTACTCGAATATGGACAGCATTTGATAACTCTTTGTTTTTTTCTCCCCTATTTATAGTCATACAAGACAAGTAGATGTTTATACTTTCAGGTTTTTCTCCTTCCCATCATAACAAGAAATTTTAAAAAGCAATAGGATTTAAAAAGCAATTATATACACACATATTGACAGATATGACCATCTTCCTTCCATGCTGCCTGGTTTTGTCATGTAATTTAAGGAATGTAATCCACAGCTCTGACAATGACATTTATCATGTAACCTTGAAAGACAGTTTGTCATACAGAGGGGCTCAGACCTCATTAAAATCTCATTCCCAGCCAGCATCTGGTGATGGAGGACTTGGTACAGGTACAGAAAGTTCATTGTAGGGTCAGAGCTAGAGGATGGGGATGAAATTTCTTCTGACATCTGCCAGGGGATAGATCTTCTGTGTAGGGTGTTGTCAAAAGACAAGGGCATGTGGTAGACCTTTTTGATTGGACAGCAGAGGGTAGGATCTGCTGCTTTTAGATTTCTAGCCAGTGGATTGGCAGTTCAAGGTACCATCTCCAACTGAATGTGACAGTGACTTACTTCACTCCTGTAAAGCAACTTCATTTAGAATATTTCTAAAATTGCTGTAATTTCAAGGATTGCACATGCACACATTGTTTCAGTGAGCTTTAATATAATTGATATAATGTATTTACCTATATTAGTAAATCTAGTTTTATTTTTAACTGTGTTCAGAGTTATCACCTGACAGCTAATTTTTTGCTACAGAATGTCTGGTTATTATGTGTATAGTGTGTGAAAGATACATATTTTCATAATAGCTGGAGTCATAGTTACAGTAGTTTGAAGTTTCTCTTGAAATTCTAATCAACAAACTGTTCTTAATTTAGATGAAGCAAGCATATCAAACACAAATATTAACCATTATATCTTTAAGTGATATTTTAATGTAATAACAAGAGATTTGGAAATAAATCACCAAAGCTATAAAACTCATATATGCATGTCCCATGCTGATCGTAACACAACTTGTTTACTAAGGAAGAGGAAGTCTTGCTTACATGGCAGAAAGCAAGGGGAAAAGAGTTTCTCTTTGTCATTTACCAGGTATGTCCATGTGGACTTTATAAGCACAAACACATTAAGTATATCAAAATACTAAGTTTGCTTTCCAGTCAATGGTACCTGGTAGGAGTACAAGGGTAGATTTTGATTCATCATATAAAAAACTTCAGACATATGTTCTTCAGTGCAAAGCATTGTGGTTAGGTACACAACTGGTGTCATTGGTAAAGAATAGCTAGATACAGATGGATGTGAATCAGTACAAGGACTTTATAACTCATTCTCTGCAAGAACATGAAGAAGGAGGAAAAACCAGTGAGAGTGCCAGTAGTTTGCTGCTAGGAGAAGACTGGGAGGCAGTGGTCTGGGCTCTCAGTTCTGCTACTGATCTGCTGCACATAGTTAGACACATCATTTTCTCTTTCATTTTGTTAACTCAACTACAGCTTCTCAGGGTCACTATGAGGCAGTAAGCTCAGCTGGTCATGTGGGGATGCCTTCCTAAATAGAAACTGAGGAAAGCAACCTTCTGCTGCAGTGTGGGGTAGGTGAAAGTTAATTTATGCTGGTACCCTCTGTTTTCTGCTTCATCCTCCTGTGAATAGTAGGAATAGAAACAGCATTGATTCTTCATGGGTGTTCCAGCTTCAGTAATAAAGTGGTTCTGAACAACAGTTTTCAGTCCTGAGGGTAGGTAAGTTTTATTCATTTTTTTTTTGCCCACAGCCTGTATTCTTATGTCCTGGCAATGGTTACAGCTGGCTATCCATCACAGCAGAGTAACCAGACCTTTACTCCTGTCAGTAAAATCTGTGTACCTCTGGGGTGGCGCATGAGTGTTACCAGCCTACTGCAAGCCCACCTCCCCATCTGGCTGTCCTGCCTAGCTCTGTCTGCATCTATTTAGACCTCCTGGTGTGCTGTGTGTTTTAAACTATGATGTGTTTAAAAAATAGTCATATGTGTTAAGAAAATAAACTTTTAATGAGGATGGGTTTTTTTGAGGGGTGAAGGGGACAGAGGAAAAGGGGAGAGTGGAGGAGGGTCACAAAGAGGAAGTGTTTGAAGGTGGACCTGCAAAGTTTAAGTTAAAAGCTTTGTAGGACTTCATATGTACTGGGACAAGACTTCCCCTGAAAATAGCAGGGACTTAAGGAGCACAGTGTCCCTTGGATGTCCATCCCTTTAAACATGGTTTCAAAGGCTACTGGACACAAGCCAAGCAGTCTGCAGTCCTTGTTTGCTAATAGTTGGTGCTTGAGGGATTGTTAATCTTTCCTGTGGTTTTCACACATAGCAGTTTGTGACAGAAGGGCACAGATCCTCCAAATGGTGTCTTTTGGGATCTCAGTAGCTGTTATGTCACAGTAGTCCAGAGCTCAGTATGGGCTTATTTCTCCTGGGAGCATTTACAGACTGAATTTGTAAGCCTGCGTTCACTGTTGTTTCTGTGCTTCTGCTTTTTGTATACCAGTATAACGCTGACCCAGGAGTTCGTGGCATGATGACATGTACTAAACCTTCAAACAACATAATACACTCAGCAACTCTAGAAAGTGGTTGTTCAGCAGCAGCAAATGAAACTGGTTAGCTGGTGGCTCATTTACACACACACAAATTGTCATTGCATAAATTGCCATTATCTCTGAAAACCTGTCAACTTGCCCAGCAAATGGCTCTTGCAGAGGGCTTGGAGGGCCATCAAATTCAGCCTTAGACAGCTTTTTTGACTCACCTCCCTTGGATCAACAGCAGGAGGGCTTTCAGGGCATTCGCGAGCTGCGAAAGGGCAAGGGTTATTCTGAAGGATAAACAGGGTAATAAGTGACTCAGTCAACCAGTAGAGGAGGAAGACCACATTTGCAATAGTGTGGCTACAATATACAGAAGTTATACCACGGTAAATTGGTGTGAGACCTTTTTCCCCTTCATACCGTGCCCTGCTGCCTCAAACTTCTTCCTCAGCCATGAAGGAGCTGGCCCACAGCTCAAGGTCACCCCTCCATGTCACTCAGCCCTTTCACTCAGTGACAGTGAGACTGGTATTTAGGTGAGATTGGCTCTAACCTGTGAAATACGCACAAGTAGTCTCTATTAGGGTATTAACCCAACTGACCAGGTGGTAAAAAGCTCCATATTACAGTGAATAGCCTGAGAAGAGACTAATTTGTTTGACTCTCTAGCTGGGGAGAGAAATGACAAGTAAAAGGAAGGCTTTCTCTACACCAGGTATAATTAAGCAACATGCAGCTTGTTGCTTCAGGATGCTATGGAATTGTCATTAGAGAAATTTGTTGTCATTATGTGACCAGCAAAAAGTGCAGTCCCCATATAACCTCTGACTGAGGAGATTTTTTAAACTGTGCATGACCATTATTAAGAGAAATCTCTCCTAAACATGATGAGTAGCCCCATTTACATTCCTAATCATCAGTACTGTCTGTTGTTAGAGATGGTATCCTCGGTTAGAATGCTTGGTCTAAATCTATATAGTTCCTTCCATACTTTTAACCATTTTTTTAATCCATCTGTGAATTAAGACATGGATTGTACAGCTTGGTGCTTTGAAGCTTAAACCTAACAGTACAGAACTCTCTAATGGGTCTAAATTCTCAGCCTGTAGATTGGCTGTAGGCTTATTGGTGAGGGGTCAGTCAAGTGATTTAAAGTAAATCATCCTAGAACTGTCTTCTCTGATCTCTAAAGCGTATATCCTGTTGCTGTTGCAGCAGGATCTTCACGTGAAAACGAAAACAGAATTTCATCTTAAGCTTTAGTTCTCCCAGAGTACTTTAAAGCAGATGTGATTTTATATTCACAACACAAAAACCTGAGCCATTCAGTATTTCACTTGAGCATGTCATTTATTTTCAATCTCCCTCTGAGTAGCGAAAGGAACTATGATAATAAATGAAAACATAAATTCCCTTGAATTGCTGTCCTTTTGCTTTTTATATTGCTGCTGAGATTTTTGTTAGCCCTGGTTTCTCTTCCTGACCAACTTTGAGTCTATTCAGTGATGTTCCTTAATGGTTCCAGTTGGTGTTCAGAAGAGGAGAAAATCCTCTCTCAAATCCAAGGGGTTGATGAGACTCTGAATCAGAATTTTTTCGAAACTAGGTGTACTTCAGATTCAATATGATATTTCTGACCAGAGCCAACAAGAGAAAGGAAGCCCTTCTACACAGCTAGTTGTCATTCTTGCCCACAGTTGCCAGGTCTAAAGACCTGCTTACTGTAATTTGGAACAGGAACCTGAACGTTTTTTTTTAAACTTTATTACTGTCTGTCTTGCTGGGTTTCTTCTTCATGGACACAGTGGGTACTTAAGCATTGATGGGGGCAGAGTGACTGTTTCAATGACTTGTGGGCATTCAGCAGGACTGCTTTCAGCTGCGTTTGGAGTTCTATTTCCGAAGAAGTTTTTCTACTTTGTCTTTCATATCCCAGGAAACTGCTTTGGTTATTCTGGAAAAACATGTTCAGCTTGCATGCTGCTTCAGAATTTTTCCATGAAAGTTCTTGATATCCTCCTCTTTGTGGAAGAGAACTAAATGTCAGTCTGAGTGTTTGTGATGAAATACAGTTTTTGTTTTCCAGACAGACCTGCCAGTAACATATAAATGCTGGCAGCACGAAGCAACTGTTGTGACACAGCCTGTCAGGAAAGAAAATCTGGGCCTTGGGCTTTCACCACTTTGGGCTCCTGGTGACAGGTGTCCAAGTGGCTGCTGCCTGACTAGTCTGCTTGTATCCATAAAACCTCACACCACTAAGTCACAGCAAAGAGATTTGACATCCAGTGAGTACCTGTAACAAGACTAATACAGAGAAAAGGCCTTTCAGATATGATCAGATGCTGTTACGTCTCTCTTTGTTTTACCAGTGCTGTTCTGGTGAGCAGGGTTTTATCCTAGACAATGCAAATGTTGTTGTCATAGCTGTTAGTGCTACTATGAGAAGGAAGAGCCAACCTTAAATACTCAGTGCCTGGCTCTTTCAGTGGGCAGTGTGCAGCTGAAAATTTTGGTTTTAATGTCCTTTAATGCAATAACAGACCCCTATTTAGTTGTAGGTACTGAATGAGCAAGCTTTACTACTGATAGAGAAGTGCTTCTAATAACTGCCAACAATGTTACGTGTCTGTAATCCACATTATGGCAGGCAAGGTAAAGAGGTTTGTGCCATTGCTCATGAGACAAGAGGGAAATGATGATTTTAGTAGAGTGTTTTTTGGGGGGAAGCTGTGTTAATATATAATTTTTTGGCTAAATGACTGTCCTCTTGCCATTTGAACTGCACAAAGTGAATCAAATGACTGTGTGGTGTCCTTACCCTGCAAAGCTGAGTCAATCATGTTGAGTGCGAGCAGCGTGAGTCTTTGCAAGTCTTAGGAGATACACTAGAAGTGTTTAGGGTAAAAGGTCGTATTATGAAGTAAGGGATGGAGCTGCATGCTCTTTATTTCTTAGCTGAAGTTTCTGAAATGTTTTTCCTGGTACCTGATACTTTTCATACAACTGAGAAGCCCCTTGAGGAACAGCTCACAGTTGCAAATTCTGCTTACAAATTTTAATTAATCTTTTTTCAATAGATACTGATTTCTACTAGGTCAACATATACTTAGCGAAGAGGCCTCTATGCAGTCTGCTAGTACTTTTGCAGTACTTTTGATTAAGCATGTAATTTCAATTACTGTCAATATGGCTTTATCCAAAAGCTCTTTTTAGTGTTTATTTTTTTTCGGCTTACAGATGCCAGCAAAGTAGCATTGGTGTTTTTGTACCTCACAATATAAGCTACAGAAAAGTACAACCATAAAAAAGCAGAGAAACAGCAATATGTATACTGAGGGCTAGATTTAAGACAGGAAAGTATCTACATATCCTATAGCCATGTAAATCCTGCTCAGTGTCTGAGCCAAACTCTCTAAGTCTTTTAAAAAGCCATTGGCTCCTCAAGGCCAGACTTCCAGTAGTATTTGTAAGAGAGTGTTGGTGGACTGTGAACTTTGGTCATTTCAGCACTAGGCACTTCAAGATACAGATATCTAGCTAGACAGATTTTCTGAGGATTTTCATAATATTAGGTACTTTGGCATTTTTCAAAATTCTACTACTGTCTGTATCTGCATCTTTAAACCCTTAAATACTTCCATAAATCCAGACCTAACATATTTAGGCTGCATCTGAGTGTTAGACTTTAACATTAAAATTTTCTCAGTGAAATTAAACAAATGTCCTACTTCTCAGAAGTCTGCAAGAGTTATTCAGAACTTCTGAAGGTCAGACTATGATTACTAATGTGTTTAACTCACTGAGGTTTGTTACTAAGTTTATCTGTGATAAAACTTGCTTTGTGGTGCTACTGTTTACTAAGACAGTAGGAATGGTAAGGCACAGTTCATAGAGCAGTCCTGGTTTCTCCTCGTGGGAGAGTGCTACATGGCATTGTTCAGAGGCTGGACAATCACGACTCTTTCCTCAGCACTGAGCAGGAAGGGTGGCCTAGACACCTACCCTGAGCAACAGGTTTAGAGTAGTGGGTTTTAGAGAGGAGGAAGCTTCTCCACATGTGCCCTAAGCATGATGGTGATGGGAAACAGATGAACACTGTGCTGCCAAGAACATGGATCGCTGTACGCAGCTTCTTCCCGAACTGTCTGTCGCAGAAAGTATGCAGAGGCACCAAATCTGGGCTGACCAAGCAGCTTGGCTTCTGGTAATCACCTCTGTACTCTCCTGGTTTCACAGGTCAGGTCCTAGTTTCACTGCAGCTGAGCCGAGTCAACTAACCGCTGCCTCGACCCTACTGCTGAATAAATGGCTTGTGAGTTTGTTTTTCTTTTCCCCTCTTTTTGTCTTTTTTCTTATTTGGTGCTCTGAGACAGTCCTGTCAGCACAAAGAAGCATACAAGGACATGCTGCTATGGGGAGAGGACAAATATGAGGGTCTGACTGTGGCTGCCAGTAATTAGGACAATTTGTGCTGCTTGGCTTCAGTTTACATAGTTACAGCATGAGATTTAGCTCTGCACAGGTACCACAGGTTGCTGATGGCATGGAGGTGCAATGGGCCTGAATCATACATTCAAGAAGAGGGCAGGGAATGGGCCCATGTGTTCAGGATTCTTTAGTCTCTGCCCACTTCCCACTTTGCAGGCATCAGCTGAGGATGACTACAAGACTAGGATGTATTTATGTATTATGGTGATAAAGAGGAATGACACTTTGGGGTGTGTTGAACTTCTGGAAAAAAAATATGTGACTTTGCTTCTTCCTGATAATGTGAGTGTGTTGATAAGCCCCAGGGGATCATACCATTCTCTGATAGCAGCATCCAAGATCCTTCCTCTGCTCTAAAGGCATTTCATTTCAGGGATATAAGGACAGTAATAAAAACTTCCTCCCCACCCTCCTCCAAAAGCAATTCCTCAGCTCACAGGTGTCTGTCCAAAACTACTTCGGTAATACTCCAGTATTCAGCCCAATAAAAATTTTGTCAAGAAAACATAAAGTTTCTGTCAGATATTTTCCATTAAAAATCATTTTTATAGCAGCAGGCTGTAACAAGCACACAGCTATGGAGTGAAAGTGTAAAATGATGAGAAATCTGGACAGTGTTATCATCAAATGGGGACTCAGTGGCAGACCACTTAGAATGCCTCCAGTGTATGAAGCGTGACAACCAGAATATTTTTCACCACAGATTATAATGTAAGAAATTTATTACAGATCTCAAAGGGGAATGACCCACACCACAGATTCTGTTCCTTTTCCCCAGATATATTACTCAGATAATATAAAGTCATAACTCCTTGTAAATTATTTGTGAGCCTCTCCCACTTTAGATTAAAAAACATTTCTGCTGGATACTTGCAGGGTTAATATCTGTAGCCTTGTGTTTGATTTGCTGAAAGGCACCATTATTTCTGTAGTCAATGGGAGGTGTATAGCATTGGCTTTGTCTGGTAACTACACAACTGGTTGTGATATGATCAGGAACAAGGCGTGCAACCATGACCAGAACAAGTAGATCCAATCACAGAAAGAGTAAAGCGTGATCACTGACCAAAATTAATGTCATTCATAGGAATACCTCTGTTTAATTTTTCATGATGGTTCATGTCACCAAGAGCATCATGGCATGAACCAAACTTTACATTCATCAGATTAATTCCTCATTTTTTTATCCAGAAGTCAGGAATGTTGATAATTTGCAGCATATGTGTAGCAGACAACAATGCCTGCATTACAGACAATGTATGTCAACTAGCAGTTCTATATGTGATAATGTATTCACGAAACAGCACATTATTCAAAGTGACTTAAGAATATAAGTAGTCTGAGATAGTGGTTTCCACTGTGAATGCAGAGTCTTACCACAAGTAATGAGTGAGTTACATTAAGAATTAGGAGTGCATTCTGATCTGCCAAACCTTAAGCTGTTGTAGACTAGCAAAAAATACTGGAAAAATAGCAGAATTTTACAGTCCCAAAAATGAAAATTTTATTGGCAATGCAATATTAATCATGGAAGTCCTGACCATGTGCTTCAAGGTTAAATACATTACTTGGGATAAGAAGGAGGGTTTTAATGGAATATAAATTTAGCTAAGCTTGTCTACAGCAGTATTCCTTCACTTTCCTCTGAGCATCTTGTGACTAGACATTATCAGACACAAGATAATGGACTTGAGGGCATGCTGGTCTTATCCAATATATTGTTTCTTCTGTAAACTACTTTCAAACAGGTTTGTACCTAATTTATTAATCATAGGTTATATGAAGGGGACCAGAATGAGAAGGCAGACGAACACCCCATTCATCAACATGCTCTCCTAGGGTCCCTCTTACTTTCTTATCACAAGAAAATAGCTGCAAATGTCCATCCTTTAATTTCCATGTGAGGTTTCATAGATGTACTGACTTAGCAGCTCAAGTTGGTCCAAGGGGCAATGAGTACCCTTATCCAAGCAGTGGTGCAGTAGTATCAGTGCAGTGATATCAGAGCTGAGCAATGGTTATAAGGCTTCTTGTTACCTCATCTGCAAAAGCAAGCAATGAAAATCATTGTCAGTGATGCATAGGTAAACGAAGAGTAAAACTGATAAATCGAAGCTTTCATCTCTAGCAAGGTTTTGCTTTTACTTCTGTGGCAAATCATAAGCTATAAAACCATTTGTTTGGAAAACTGAAAGAAAATGGTATATCAAAGATCTGCCCCAGAATGAAAGTTCACAGTGAGTGTCACTATAGTTCAAACCATCCCTGCTTGTGCCTTCTAGGTGGTCCAATAGCTGGTGGCTGACTGGACTCCCTTCACATCCTGTGGGTTCATTTTTGTGTGCCATCTGAACCTACCCCTTTCTGTATGCAACAGCCTATAATTTGTTGTCTCGTTCCTGGTTACAGGGCCCTGAGAACCCCACTGCTACTGAGGTGCTGGTGGAACAAAGCAATGCCTGAGTGAGGTGTGTGTTTCTGAGACTGGCACCTTGTATCAGCTCACTGACTCAAATGGTGTCCTGTGACCTAATCAGTCACAGATTTTACTGGGTTAAAAAGCAGTGCTACCCAAAACTCTTCCTGTGCATGTCTTGAAATTCTTTGCTATTCTGTCAAAGAAGAAAATAAGTATCCTAAGTGATTTGCAGTGGCAGTGAAATTAAATGAGGAAGTGATAAAGTAAGTTATGGGCAGCTGCACAGCACCTGAAACTAAACAGAATTACAGGCTCCAGGGAGGTTATCTGGTTGGAGGAGTTAGCTTGTGTTGCAGAATGTTTAGGAGAAAGTGGCTGACATTAGTCTCCTTGGCATGATTCATTTTAGAGGGATTGTGTTTGATATAGCTGTATATATTCTGTGTCAGTCTGTGCATCAGCAAACATACTTGATGCAAAATGCATGATATATGAACAATATCCAGAGGCAGAGATGTTTAACAGTGAAATAGACCAATGAATTACACAAAGTTACATTTTCCTGTGGACAACTGGAATTGTTACTGTTTTGCTAGTGAACTGTGGAAGATGGTGACAGCTTAACATGGAGGTACTTTTTACCTGAGGAAAGTTTGTTCATTTTTATTGGAAAGAATGGACGTGAATCAGAAGGGGGTAAAATGGATGTAGTCTGTATCCCTAAAGCTATCTTCATCTCATAGTGAAGAAGAGAGGAGAAATTGAGTAGGAGTGCTACAGAACTCCCAGCAAGAGGAGTCTATTTAATAGAGTTCCTCCTAGATATTATCTAAAGCCTAATGTAGTCATATGTGAGGACATGTCTCTAACAGGTCAGCTGTCGGGGCAGGCCAACAAATCAGTTGTTAAGAAAGAGAGAAACAGCTCTGAGATAATCAAAGTACAAGAAGTTGGAGTACAATCATTCTTTTATCACTGATGTCCTTTACAATTGTCTAGGTGAGTTTAGTTGAACAAGACATTTCTCCTGGCTTTGCCAGGGCCCATCCACAAAGATACAGCACTCCAGCACACTCCCTGCAATCAGGTCAGGACATGAGAGGAGTCAGAAAAGTTTCTATACCATCGTGCTTGCTTAAAATTGTTTTGCACGGACATTAGACCAGAGCTAACATTCAAGTCATAAGCATAGGACATAAACATCCATCTGTACTTTTGGCAGTCCACTTACCGACAAAAGTGGGATTAGACCTCAAACTAGAAAGAAATATTTTCGTACCCTCTTCCAGAGGAAGGTTTGAACAAAAACGTTTACATTTACTGTAATATATTTTGTTTGATTTTACTCTGATCTATTGATGATTTAATCACTTGAACTTCTTGATTTATTGATTTGATTTTACTCATGACCTTGATGTCATCACCACACTGTTCTATCTTTAATTGCCTTGGTGAAATTGCAGTATATTAGCTCACTGATGTGCTAATTTAAGTGCCTCTTTGCTTGCTCATCCTCTTCAAGAAAACTCATTTTAAAAAGTCAACATAACAGGTTCATCTGACAAATTTTGCAGCGTGGACATTGCATTCAGTGGGTACAAATAACCTTCAGTGAAGAAGATTCCAAGTCAGTGGTTTCTGAGACCAACTTACTATCCAAGTGTTTTGACCTGACCTACTAAGAGGAAAAAGCATATCTGTACCCTACATTGTACAGAAACTCTGCAGTGGGACAAGGTTCATTGTGCTCCTATAAGCAACTTAAGAAGGATAGACCTCCTATATATTGCTTCCATTATGGGCAGAGTGTCAGAAGAGAATTTGTGGGAGACATTGCATGGACCCCTGTCCTGGTTTCAGCTGGGACAGAGTTAATTTTCTTCCTAGTAGGTAGTACAGTACTCTATTTTGGGTTTAGTATAAGAATCATGTTGGTAACACACTGATGTTTTAGTTGTTGTTGAGTAGTGCTTACACTGAGTCAAGGACTTTTCAGTTTCCCATACTCTGCCCATGAGTGGGTTCACAGGAAGATGTGAGGGACCACTGCCAGGACAGCTGACCTGAACAAGCCAAAGGGATATTTCTCATCATGGAATCTCAGGTTCAACATATAAACTGGGGGAATTACCAGGAAGGTGCTGATCACTGCGGGGGGACAGGCTGGGCATTGGTCAGCTGGTAATGAGATACTGTATTGTGCATCACTTGTTTTACTCAGGTTCTTTTACTCTCCCTCTCTTTATCATTAAAATTATTATAATAATTTATTAGTAGTAGTATAGTGTGATCATGATGTTTAGTATAATATTTTATTTCAATTATTAAATTGTTCTTAACCCACAAGATTTACCTTTTCTTTCCTATTCTCCTCCCCACTGGCAGTGTGTGTGGGGGAGAGTGAGT